GGTCAAGTTCTTTCATTCCAAGAATTAAACCTCAAGCATGAAATTGTGAAAAAGCGCAACAAGACAAACATTTTCCTGATAGCTAAATTCGTCTTTTCGGGGCTCAAGTGGGTGGATGAAAACCATGTGACAGTTACTGACCAGAGAAAGGATGAGAGCAACCCCTTCTTCGGTCACCTGAAGAAAATGACCTTTTGAAAGCGTTGATTTTGTCATATTCAATTCTCGGGCACATCAATAGCACATCATTCCTATACTCCTTTTCGAATGACCATTCACATTCCCATTTCTCAATGACAGTTTACCTTGTCTACAGAAAATTAATCAGAACAAGATAATCATTAACATTATCTCAAGTTTCATCAAAAAGTACCCATTTTGGTTTTAAAATTTTTTTGTTTAAAAATTGAGAGTTGGCATTTTACTAACAATAACGTAATTGCAATTTAAAACTACCTTGAGATTCAATGAAAGACTTTCGTTGTTTTTGTTTTTATTATTGTCGAATTTGTTCCGGGGTTTTGTTGTGAATTAAGTCTGGCTGAAAAATAAAACAAAAAAAATATTTTCCTTCATTGAATTAAAAAAAAAATTATTTATAACTATTCAGATTTATTAATTTGTCAGTTAACTACCTCATTAAGTAGGCAACTGTGAGCATGGTGATAGAAACCCATAAACTCCCACACTATGCGACATGGTTTACAGTAGGCGTTGGGAAAGAATTTTCCTATCTTAGTGTGCGAGTAAGAAAACCCAGATGTGACCACACACGATGGACTGTTAATATAAGGTTCTTTAGAAGAAAAATAGACAAGATCTCTCTCAGCTATTTGGAGAGAATGTCTATGCGGCTGAAGTCGATTACCTGAATTGGGTTTGTATACTATATAGGGACCACTATGTATATTTCCACCAATTGCATACTGATATAATGCATTAGCGTCATAACCAACTATTGATTTCACCAATTTGTTCTCGTCTCCACATATGAAAAAATTATTCATGTTTATAGATCAATTTTTCATGTTTATAGAAATGAATCAAATTTTTAACAGCATCATGTAGAGGTTGAACGTCAAGACAGTTGTGTATTTCAAAAAGTCTCTCATGGTTTCAAAGTTCTCATTGTTCCATACTTGTTCGATTAGCTCGTAGTTTTCCCCACCTGTGTTTGGTCTTTTTGGGTTTGTAGGCTCACCACCTTTACCCACAATTTTTTTAAATTCAGATTCTAGAGTGTTTCCATGCGAAAATAGGAAAAAAAATTCGAATAAGGAGAAAAAGTGATTACAGAAAGTTTATCAAAAGACACCAAGTACCCATAGGGGGAAAAATTGTTTGCTGTTACACCTTAAGCTTTGAGAAATTGGTCTAATGAAGTACCTGCTGCTAAAAACTGACTGCTGTCAATGAAATGAAGTGTCGGTAAGGCTAATGACAGGAATCGATTATTCTTTTTGATTACATAAAAGAATGAAAGTTCGTCAAGTCCAAGTAAATATTTGAAAAAAAAAACTTTCGAATTACACTCAAATCATAAGATCCACCATTATACTACCACTGGTAATTGTTCAATGTAGGATGTAAGTTTTTTCTTAAGTTGATTCAACTTTTTTAAGTCCCTTTGTATCTTATGTTCTTTTTCTCGAAATATTCCGTTTTTTTTCAAGCTTATAAGTTTTCTGTTCGCTACACTCTTTACTCTAGCAAACAGCTAGTGTTTTAGTACGAGCCTTCACTTTCTTCTAACCTAACTCGCAAATAACAATTTTCATTAAATGTGTTCACTTTTGTGCTTTCTGCGATAAT